GGGGGCAGCAGCAGAGTCAAGAAAGAGTGCCTTCTGTATGCATGTAAGGATTGTGTAATCTCTGTGTTGTTTATGTATACTGTTCCACGGGTGTGTGTGTCCGGGGGGCCCAGTGCAGCCATACACACACACACACACAGACCCATACACACACGTCCTCCCCCTAAACCCCTAGACAGCACCCCCTCCCCCCACCTGCGACGTGAACAGCTGGTCCAGCAGTCCCGCCAGAAGCTCCAGGGGCTGCGGCTTCACCACACGGACGTTGCGCTGCAGGGAGGCGGCGCGGTCCAGGGAACGGAGCCGCTGCCACCTGAAGACAGGCAGCAGCAGCAACGGCAGAAGCAATGGCAGCAATAGCAGTAGCAGCAATAGCAGTAGCAGCACAGTAGCAGCAATAGCAGTAGCAGCAATAGCACGAGTGAAAACAAAGTAAATACGGATATACACCAATCGGGAGGGAGGAGTATTCAACATTCAACCCGGCAGGGGTCGGGGTCGGGTAGGGGGTGGGGATGATGAGGTAGGGTGTGGGAGATACGGCGTATGGGAGTGAGTTGGGGAGGAGAAGGAGACGAAAGAAAACAGCGGAAACATAAATGCAGGGGTCTGAGGATCGAACTAGCGACCTTGCAACCCCCGCCCATACCGACATACGGACAGACCCACCTGACGTAGTACCAAGCCCCCACCGCCGTCGTCCCCAGCGCCGCCGCCCCCAGCAGCTTGGGATGAGACCTCAGCAACGGCACGTGGTCACACAACCAGTCCCAACCCGCACCGCCGTACTCGTATACGGCACCGCTGACGGCGGGCTGCCGTGCCGCCGCCACCACGCCGCCGGTGGCGGTGATGGTGCTGACTGCGCCCACAGTAACCTGCACACAAAAGCGGTGTACAGTCTGTGTGCTGTCCGAACAAGAACACGTTTTTGCATGTGTCCGCCTGTCATTCTGTCTGTCTGTGTCCGGAGGTTAGGGCGCCAACTTCCCCCATCCCAAAAACACACGCTCCCCTTTCCCCCTCCCCCCGCTCGTGGTTCTTCTTTTCCCCCTCCCCCCCTCGTGGTTCTTCTTTTCCCCCTCCCCCCCGGATGCCCCCCCCCCACACACAAACCCTCTGCCACCTGCGCCGCCGTGTAACTGGGCCTCATCAGCACAGCCCGCACGTGTTTCAGTGTGGCAGTGTCCGTACGAGCGTACAGGTGCGTGAGCAGCAGGAACTGCCGGGAGGCGCGAACGTCCCCGCGTAGGACCTCCTGCATGTGACGAGCCTCGTCACTGTTGGGCTTCGTGAACTTTTTCTGCAAGCGGATGGGGGGATGGGGTAGGGGGGAAGATGGTGGTGGGGAAGATGGTGGTGTTGTGGAATGGTTTATGTTGGTGTGGGAAATCACGTAGGACAAACGCAAGAAGTAGCAGCAGGGGGGTTCAACAGCAAGCCCACGGCCCTCGCAGCAATAACCCACCCCGCCTCCCGACCCCGCCTCTTTCCCCCCCTCTCCCCGACCACGCCACCACACAGGAGAAGCCGATGCGAGAGACCCTCTGCGTACGCTGGCCGTACAGTACCCCGCCGTACAGTGTCGTACCACTAGCTCTGTCGCGGAGTAGCTGAGGATGCAGTCCACGAGGTCGGCTGTGGTCCAGGCGTCCGAGAAGGTGGCGTCCCAGTTATCGGTGCTGGCCTGCAACGTCTCCATAAAGCTGTTGTGGGGAGGGTGGGGAGGGTGGGGAGGATGGGGAGGGTAAGACGAACCACTGACGATTGAAGCAGAGAGGGTGGGGAGAGGGTGGCACAATATGGGGAGGGTTTGCCGGGAAGAATATGTAACATATTTTTTCAAAAAGCACAAAAGGGGAGCGGGAAAAGGCTCTGAAGGTGTGGGTGAACGTGGACTTTGGCGGGGGGGTGAGGGGAGGGGGAGGGTGTCGCGCCTTCCAGACGTGCGTATGCCAGCCAAATGAGTCATAGCGTTCCTGAGCTCCAACGCACCGACTGCAGGTGGTGATCAACTCTTAGCTGAGATGCCCTTTACAGGTTCGGGGGATTAGACCGGAAGGGGGTTTGGGGGGTCTAGGCTTCGGCGTGTTCCTCAAAATCTCCCTTCCTCCGCGACAGCTATCCATCATGAATACAAACCTTTTAATGCAATGCGCCTAAACTGCCCTCGCTCTCCATTCTTACGTGCTTAGGCAGGCGGTCAGGTGCCCCGGCCGACACATGTCCACGACGAAATGGCCCTTGGTTCCGTTCGCGGCCGCCTCCTCGTTGTAGCGCCTGTAAGCATCCTCCAGCTGCAGACGAATCGTGGTCTTGCCGCTACCTCTCCGCCCAAAAAAGATGTACGTTGTATCGCTGGGCTTCAGGCCGCGCAAATCGGAGTGGATGTAAAGGCTAGTTGAGTCAAGATTGGTTTTCTCAGCAGTTCGGTCTGTAAATGGATTCCTCGACAGGCCAAACGTCTTTAGCAGGTCGGTGGTTGGCATTTTTGGAAATCGACAAACTTAAAGGTGCGGCTCTGTTATCGGCCCTATGCTGTTAAGCAAGGTTGAGAGCACAAATGTATATGATTAAGTCACCGCACGATCTAGGTCCTAAATTTGATCAGCGTCGAAACAGGATTGCCCGTCCCCCCGGCTCGGAGCACAGCGTGTCGGGAGATGCCACCGTTATGCTTTCTCAGCTGTCACCGAAATGGCAAACATAAGAAACATTCGTGATCTATTCCATGCGCTGGTTACTGCATGGAATGTTCGTGCGCGCGTAAACTTGCATCAACAACTTCCGTGCTACCCATGCAACGGTTGTCCTGCGGCCTCCACTTCGAAAATCAACCTAACGAAATTTATATATAAACATTTAAACCATGACTTGTCTTACCCATTTGCCCGCATTTGCGGGCCTTCAAAACAAAGCCCGATGGTGCACGCCACCGGGCGTCGCTGCTGGTCGCTTCAAGCGACCGTTGCGACTCCTCACACACGCTTCCGATCCGGGTGCGTCTATGAAATAATAGCTACAAATCATCCTGTCCATAAATGCCCAAGCTCCCTTCTAACACCCAAGCTTCCTTCACTCGCCAACTCAAACATAAGACCGACAGTGTGTGCGGGAATTGATGTCTATCCGCAGCGCACTCCACACGTATAGCTACTCCCCTTTTTCCAGCCACACCCAAATCACACCCGCGCCATGTGTATCCTCGATTGCCTGTATGCATTTACCTATCTACTGATGCATGCCTGCATGCAAATCGCTCTTCAAGAACCCCAACTAATACCCGCGGCATCCCTGCGCGCAAGCGCATGCGCATGCAGACAAACCCACACGCACACACACGCACACACACCTTTCGCATAAACTCTCGCACCCCCTTGCCCGCGTGTGTGTATTGGACGACGAGTATCCTTGTATTCAAGCACACGGCTCTGCCGATCTGCTCAACCCCTACCGCCGCCGCCACCGCCGCTACCGCCGCCGCTACCGCCGCCGCCACCGCTGCCGCCGCCGCCGCAGGCCCCGGGGTTCCCGCAGGGGGCGACTCGGCGCCGGGCAGCAGCAGCACCACCACTGACACGCCGCCGCCGCAGCAGCAGCAGCTGACGTCAGCCCCCGTAAGGCCCTCCCAGCCGCCGCCACGGGCTTCGGAGGCGCCCCAACGCGACACGTTCATACCCATCATGGTGAGTGAACGGTACATCAGGTCCCCGTACGGCACATCAAACCCCTGGTTACCGGGTGGGTGGGCGTGGGGGTATCGAGGGGACATAATAGGAAATCGCCCCCCCTGTGGAGGGGTTTATTAGCCGTACGAAAGTAGTACTGCTGCTGATGCAGGGCTGAGGCTGAGGATGGGGCTGAAAGATCCCATTTTTATATAATTTCCCTGGTGCGGCACCTACACACATACATACGCACATTCATACATACATACATACATACATACATACATACATACATACGCACATTCATACATACATACATACATACATACATACATACATACATACATACATACATACATACATACATACATACATACATACATACATACATACATACATACATATGTATGGATGAGACCAAGCTTGACTAAGCTGCTACTATGACCGTCGGCCAACCGCGGCCGTGGCCACCGACAGCGACCTCAATTGTTTGAGCGTAGTTATGGTTATCTAATTAGCCTGAAAATGTCGCAGAGGCGACCAGCAGTGGCTGTTAGCCGCGGCAATGTTCAAAATGGCCGCCAGCCGACCTCAGCCGCGAGACCGCAATCCATACCGACCAAAAAGATAAAGGCCGTCAGTGGCTTTTACGGAACAAATGAAGGCTTGGCTTTCTACAGAGCCACACTAGAACTGGAACCGATCGTGGTGACAGTCCGGTGGCCAGCGGGCTCAGATACGGGCGACATCATCGCGCAAATATACGGTCCATTAGGACTTCAAATTCTGGCAACAATTGGCCAAATCTTCCGCAGCAACCAGGAGTTCAACCGTTGGGGAGGCCCTCGCATTCAAAAACGGTTGCTTTATCCGATGGGAAGGGAACGGCACATTGTGATGGAACTCTCCATCCTTGTGCCAAAAGGAGGTTTAGCAGCGTTGACAGCGACCAGGCGCATCGTTAACGGGCGATTGCGCGTGCCTGGGGTGCAATTGACCCCGAACATGGAGCCGATGGAAGTGGAGCTGCTGGTGAAGAACCAGCAACAGGCTAAGCCCATTGTGTGGGAGGTGAGAGGCGTCCCGGTCGGCCTCAGCTGTCAG